AACAGTCTGCAGAATCCCCTCAATGATTACACTGTAAATGATAATCTACCTTAACCAAAATCAAAGTAGACTATCACTCACCCACACCAGATGGAAAACTCTACAGACTGTCACAAGCCAGCAAAACATCCACGAAACAAAGAAAGGTCTGTCACAGCCATAAAATACACTCCAGACACACCGCTGGCACTAGAGGCACAGCATGGCCGCCTAGTAAGGGCCCCGGCCACTGCCGCTCGACCTGACAAAAAAAAACCGTAGTAGGAAGCTAGCGAAGTCGTAGCATATATCATCACAAACAGAACTACCCGGTAAACCGTAGGCAGAGAGAGAGAAAAGGACAACAAACGAGGGGCTGTGACAAACAGTTTATATCTATCTATCTATCTATCTATATATATATATATATATATATTACAAAAAAATAAATTACGTTCGCTCGAACATGTTTGCGAGCTGTTCGCGTGAATGCGCGAACACGTTCGCTCGAACGGGGAGGGGCGCAAACACGTTCGCCTTGCTACGCAGCTTCTTGGCAAATATTTCATTTTTATTGCGAGCGTAGCCGCAACATGTCCACTAGTATAGTGAACGATTGTAGTGCTTTGACAATAGCGAATAAATTTCATATATCTAGCTAGAGTTTTATATTAGATTCGTCAATTTTTTTCCACTAAGGTTTTTTTTCCCACTTGTTACAGATTGTGCGTTGCGAGAGTATGTCTATCTTCTTGGTTTCACTCCTTCGCTTTGCTATAACTATAGGTAGGGCGTATGAAATGATGCTTATTCCAAGGTATTTGATTGTATTTGTGATTTCAATCTCATTTGCATGTGTTGAAGGCTTTTACTATTGCCTGTCACGTTTATATCGATTTTTTTTGTGCTGCATCAAATGGCAATTCGGCCCAAGTTCATCGGTGTGGCTAATCATGTCACGACAATAGTGGACATGGATCTTGCAAGGTACTYGAAGAGACAAATCAAGAAYAGTGAAACACAACAATGCTTTGACAGATACAAACAATTTATTTGCACCTAACCACATGTTTAGGATAAATTTGTTAAATCTCTGTCAATATTTATTTCTTGTACTTTGAAAAAATATGCACATCTTCTTGATCATACCCATTCGCTTATCTACAACTAAAAGGGCTAGTTAGAAAAAAATTCTTATCTCTATTTATTTGATTTAAATTGTGA